AAGAGGTCTGGCTGCATTCCCAACATTTAGATTTGCCCCGACATTCTGATATTCCTCATGACCAATACCTTGATTTCCGAGTTGGTACATATTTGCACGTTGAGTACGCCTTCTACTTCTAAAAAGTAGGATTGACGGAGAAAAGTAAGACCTTCTCTCTCTAACTTTTATGCTCAAAATGGCGTGGAACCAAAGTGCATAACATTGTGGCTTCATTCTCTATTTATAGGGGAGAAAAACCCTAAAGATTTATGTCAAAATTCAAAAGATACCCCAAATCATGCTTAATTCACGTGAGGATCGGGCAGAGCTAGTAGTGGTGCTGCTGAGTAGCTGGCAATGGTCCAGCCTGGATGGTTGACTAAGCACCCGAGAGACATCACTGATTCAGGTGGATTTCTCGATCATGGTCAGAGATCCCGTGAAAATAGGGACAGCTGGCTCCAAAAATATCTTCTTTCATTTTGTTCGCTCTCGAAATGCCAATCCAACTCAGCATTTTCATTATGCTCAACAATCTCCTTATGCCACGTCATTTTCCTTTTTCTTTTTCTTTCTCTCAAATCCTGCACATCATTAAGCAAACACCTTCCGCATAAGGCAGTACTGATGACAAATTAAAATGTCACGGCAAACCTAATTCCACCACATGCAACTATATGCTCCTAAATACATCTATGTGGTCCTAAATGAACTCTTAGACATTCAATAACTTAAGTAAAAAGGTCCCAAAATGTGACCTTTTTACATAGTTATCACACCCCTAAACTTATTCTATTGTTTGTCCTCAAACAATGGATAATATTAAGCAAAATAAAAATACCACGGCAAGTTTAGAAACAGAATAGTTATATGGGATAAAATTTCAGCCCTTAGAACATTTGGCTTCAACATGCTAGACTGGTTTGAGAAATCAAGTATTGTCCCCTAGGGCAAGATTCTTTATGTGGGTGTGTGCGTGTTTGTATCCAGTCCATACTTAACAAACCTAAAAATTTTCTAAGCAAGTTTTCTTATTTTGCCACGACATTTACGAATTTTACTCCCACATTGTTTTTTTTATTCTTCTACGAAGGGAGTCAGTCCATCAAACCTACCATCCCACACTCTAGGTGAAAAGGAGCATACCTTCCACCCCCGAGCTAGTCAGGTAGGGTCATCCCGTGACTACTTTCATTCACTTATATACCATAGCTACCATTTATTTATTTGCAGTTTACAGGAAATACCATGGCATAGTTGAGTGTCCCTCTACAGTTATACCGTAGCATTTATTCATAATCTAATTTTTTTAGAGTGGGGTTTTTATCATTTATGCCAAAACATGCAAGAATTCTCTTATCTCTCTTATCCAAACATGTTATTTACTTCTCAATCATTTTCATTTTTTATGGAAACTTAAATGTAAGTTCAACATTTGATGCTCATGTTACGAACTATTACCTGAAACATTTGAGTCCATGCTTCAAGATTTATGAGGAAAGAATGAGGAAGGATACAATTACATCAGCCTAATCAACAAAGAAATGTGGACAAATGCATATGATGGTGAATATCGATATGAACACATGACTACCAACTTGGATAAAGCTATCAATTCGACCTTAAGGGGACACACTATTTACCAGTAATTCCTTTGGTTAAAACAACATATTTTTGTTTGAGAGCGTTTTTTGCCAAGCTCGGGGGGACAAGCTTAAAATTGGATGCAAAACGGTCATGTCTATCACCCAAAGTTACAGATATACAAAAAAGAATTGTTGTATCAAATGGAATGTATGTAACAATCTTCTCTATAACCCATGAATTATTTCGTCACAGAGATGTTGCAACCTCTTCAAGGGATTCAAGCTAACTCGTTAAGAGTTAATCTACGAGACAGATGGTGTGATTGTGGGTTTTTTCAAGCTCTGAAGTATTCATGCTCTCATGTTATAGCAGCTTGATCTCATACCCATCAAAGCTATAACCGTTTTGTGGATCACGTATACCGACTTTCAGAAGTGTTTAAGGTATATGAATTTGAGTTCCCCTCATAGGTAATGAGAAATACCCTGATGAATTTTAGAATTGGCTTCCCATTGTACCAGATCTGTCCTTATTGAGGGAGCTCAGTCATCCAAAATCCACTCAAATTCATTATGATATGGATATTCGGGAGACGCCTAGAGAAAACAAAAGATGTGGGCATTGTAGAAACCTAGGACACAATAGGAAAATTGTTCATCTCTTTTGTCATCAAGTAATCATTGATGTTGTGATTGATGTAGTTGTTGTTTATTAAATCTAAGTTTCCATTATTTAATTTTCATTTACTTTCAGTTAATGTCATTTGAGCACCAGCGAGTAATTGGCTACTCAAGAAATTAAATAATAAAAACAATTAGAACAAACTAAAAACAAGAAAATGATACAACTCAAAAAATAAAAACAACTAAATAATAAAAACAATTCGAACAATTAAATAATGAAAACATTAAGAAACAAAATAAATAAAAATCCATAATTAAATAAAAAGTTTGCAATTGTTGTTAAACAAACAAAATTAAATAAAAACATAAAGAAGTAAACAACTCTATCGATACTGACGTCTTGAATGTGTTCTATAGGGCAGTGGTTGTCTGTGTCGATGAGGATTTCTTTGTGTAACTTATTCTTCCGCCTCGCTCTCATCATCATCATCATCATCAGGAGCACATACATTTTGTTGATGAGGGACGAATGATGATGTATCACCTCTATAAAATAAGAACTATGAAGGTGTGGCTAACTATTCTACCGCTCACAGAAACTGTGAAAACTACAAAAACACCGACATCAATGAGTGTGAAAACTGCACTAGAGGTGTCTAAGCATGTTTTAAAGCTTCATCCGCCAAATAACTAGCATATGAACCCAAGTTGGATTTGTAAGCATGGAAGTATAATATCCGCCAAGAGGGGTCATAAAACTCTACGACGGTGGCGGCATTTGGTATGGAAATGATAGCTTCTGACTCAGCTACAGTGGCATATGAAATAGCTGCGATGCCATCTGAAATGATTGCGGTGCCATCTGAAAAAGCTGCAGAATGTACACTAGTATAGACGGTGGTTGTTGTGATGGTTTCGGTTCTACAGCTGAGGATGAGCCGGAAGTGCCGATAATGCTGTGACGATGGACGTGTTTTGTCGACGTCTATGAATGCTCCTGCCTTGTGCTTCCTCATAAAGTAGGAACAATTTCACGTTGGTATTGAAACACTTATAATAATCATCTGCAATCGAGTAATGATCCACATAAATGGGTTTCATACGGGGAATGCACCCACATCAATCCTCTCATATCATTACCCACTCAATGTGCTTCAGCAGCTAGTCGACTTCTCTTTTGCCCTGTCTATCGATGATATGCATATCATCAAGATTCTTAGATGCTTCCGGAATAGATTGTACAAAACCAAATTGGCAGAGCACACGATCACTAAGATGCCACTCGATAATAGTATAACATATTAAAGGGACCACTGCCATCCAGACATTTAATGGGTCTCTTAAATGATGTGGGATGCAAATCCACATTTCTTTAGTAGAATGAAGAGCTCATTGAAACAAAAACAAATATATATAATTCTAATCAAAATAATATTTTAATTATCTAACGATAATTAAAAGTATATAATAATATGTAAATACATACATCTGTACCAGCCTTCTGATCAATGAGTAGCCTAATTTCTTCCAATTCATTAGGTAAATCCCGATGATCTTTTCTTGCACTTGACCACCTATTTGAAATAATTTTCATTATATACTCAACAAAATTATTTATATACGAATCAGCATTGAAATTACCTCAATAATAGCAGGAAAATCAACGGGTTTTTCACCACGGGACATAAAAAGAGCATGTGATACCACGCCCAAGACTGGAGAATAAGTAGACATCCGCCAATAGCATTTTTTCGATAGTCGGTATCTAGACACATTTTCCTATATATAAATGCCAAAATTGTGGAGGCCCAACTGAGTGTGCCACATTGATAAAAATTTGCTAGGTGATGTAACCACATACAATGAACTTGGTTGCGCAATTTTTCGGACATCAGGATCCCTCCTATGAGTTGTAATATGCAAGCTCGTGCATACATTTTAACTTGCCCCTTGGAGGCATCGCGACTCAAATGTTGGAAAGTTGTATCCAACCAATTTAATGGTATTCGACCACCATTGAAATTAGGTGGGATACCTCCAAGATACTCATAACACAAGGAATGACAGTCACTATTCACCACACGGAAACATCCTCCAGCGTAATTGTGCACTCTCCACACGGAAGATGGAATATGTGTGTATCTGGTCTCCACCTCTCAACCAATGCATAAATAAGGTTGGATTCAAGGTTAGAGTGTTCTTCATATTTTGCTACGTAACCAATCCAACCTCGACTAAATATAGTTATACAATAGTAGGTATCTCTAACTTAAGGATACGAATGAATGAATCAAATATACGGTCTCTCTCCTAATTTAATAAATATTATAGAAATTAAAATATAAATTAATACTAAAAAATTAAACAAATAAAACATTAACAATAATTAAAATTACAACATAATTTAAAATTATTACCGTATCGACAAAATGCCTTAAGATATGATTCTCATCTAAACATTGCAAACAACCTTCCATTTTATAACTGCAAAAAATTAATAAAAAATTAGTATAATAAAATTTAATAAAATAATAAATTATTGATTCATTATAATACAATAAAAATATTTTATATTCTTAGTAGAAAGATTGATACTCGGAAGAATGACAAAATTTGAGATTTGAGTGTGGTTTGGAGGTTGTGTTTGGGTATGGTATTTATAGGAAGAGAAGATGGGGTATTATAGGAATAAGGGAGGGGGTAGATGAGTTCCTATAAATATGAGAGTTGGACGGCTGGGGTATTAAAGGAAAGACGTAGATAATGATATGTGGCTTACATAAGTGTCTAAAATCTACAAAGGCGCGAATGGTAATCCACGCCTTACCTTACGTGGCGCCAGTTCGGATAGAACCCTGTTCGCGCTTTATCAGAAAGAGTGCTAGATCGGTAATATTAATATATAGGGTGACTGATAGGTAATTATTAGTTGTACGAGTGATATTTCGGTGAAAAAAAACTCTTCGTTCGGTTTCTTTTTATATTTTATTTTTGAAGTCTTATGAATTTGATTCTGTTAAGGAACATCAAGTTATGAATCATCGAGTTTAGAGATATACTGAAGTTTTTTTACATTCTCAATCTCTCGCCATTTGTATAATTTGAAATTGTAATTGCATGACTGTGATGCTCGCAATAATCGTAATAGCACTTGCAATGTCCGCATTTGTGATATATGTAACTGAAACCATAACTGCAACCATAATTTAAATCCTTGTTTAGGATGATAACTTGATAGCATTTTAAATGTTGAGAAAATAAATACTGAAATTTCATTCATACGAAGCTTCCTACTTTATTTGCGAATCATTCTCAGTTTTTCCATTTTGCAATATTGTTTTGCTAAGGATATGTTATAGTGGTGTACCCAATGTTGAAGTCTGGAAAATTCTATGATATATTATCATAAGTATGTTCTTACTGATTTTGCAGGGGTTGGAAAATTATGTCTTCTTCTGCAATTCGCTGGCGAACGGTTTCAACTTGTTCATGATTTAACCATTGGTGTTGAATTTAGAGCCAGAATGATCACTATGTTAGAGTATGCCCAATGACCAATCATATGATGATTGTAATAATACTTTTATTTACTGATTTTATTGAATAAAGGCATTGCCACTATTATTTTCAGCTATATATATGTGTTTAACATAAACTCGAAGATAATAAAGTCCATATAATGACATAATTGTTATTATTAAAAGATCCCTAGTCAAGTATTATTATGGGCATGGACAATAATAATACGCTTAAGACTAACATGTTATTGTTTGATGACAACAAGTTGTCATTGACATAGAGATTCCAAAATTTATACATGATTATATTGTTAGAGAACAATGTATTGGATTGACCCACCATGAGCATATGTCTTGGATTATTATGTGACAGTTATAACATTGCTCATGGTGATGACTATATGTATGATCTTCAGACTTGAGATCAATACTATCCCAAAATATATTGTTGTATGTTTTGATGCAGCTAAACAAGCACCGTAACTGGTTGCTCTATAAAGACTGTTATTGAATATATGTAGTGGGAGTGTATGATTAAGATAGGATTTGTCCTTCCTACATAATAGGAAATATATCACAGGCCACTTGATTGAGTAAGATTAGAAACGCATGGCCATACAAGAATAAGTTGATATAAGATATTATAAACTATTTGTTAATTAAAGTCTACTCTAGATATCAACAAACAATAGATGGGCTATACAAGTGTGACTATTCCAAGACTTATGCCTATTCTAGATATAAAGGAAATAAGGTTGTAATACATAAAAGAATTAATCACCAAGATGATATGTCGAATCATATTTTCTTGTAACTTAGGTGACAATGATATATTGCTAAATGTCACTCATTGTATGTAATATTAGAATTGTTCTAATAATTACTGCTAACGTTACAATAACCTACAGGGTCATACCCTAAGATTGAAACGAGCAAATATGTAAAATTTGTTGTATGTTACTAAAATATATATAGAGTTAATTAAATATATGTTTTAATAATCCCGAATATTTAATTTCAATTAATTAAATATAGATTTAATTAATTTGAAATAATAAAATCCCTAATATGATTAGAATAACTTGGATATAAAAGGATTATTAAATTTCAATTAATTAAATATAGATTTAATTAATTTGAAATAATAAATACCCTAATATGATTAGGGTAACTTAGCTATAAAAGGGTGTGTTAGGTCTAGCAGCCGTTTTAGAACACACACACAAAACCTTCAGCCGTTTTTCTCTCAAAACTATTTTGGGGAAGAAAATTATTGCTCTCAATTGGGTGAACTGAGTGGAGGCCGAGACGTGATTTCATGGAGGCTTACGATTCTAACCGATCTATACCACCATTATTCACTGTTGTCCTTGTTGTTTTTTAAGGAACCCGTTGTAAGTATTCGCATCCCTTTCTCCCGATTTTAGTTTTTCATACTTGGATTACTGGTGAGACCGTCGAGTTTTATTTCCACTGCGCCATGGGGTACGCTGACGGTCACAACAGTGGTATCAGAGCCACTTGTACGATCTAAATTTTGGTTAAATTTTTTGGTTGATGTGATATATATGAGATGCATGTTCTAGTTTTATCGATTTCGATAAATATGCTGATATTATTGTTTGAATCGATAACCGCAACGATTAATATGTTTATTTGTTAATATATTTTTCAATCGATTTGTTGCTGGATAATATGTGGAAGTGCGATAGCATATCGTGTTTGAAAATGGAACAATGGTTGTTCCAATGTAGAAAACCTTCGAGATTGAAAATCCCAAAAGCACGATTCTATTGATAATTGTTATCAAATCGTGAAGTTTTTTCATGGAAACATAAGTACTGTTTTTAAAAAAAAATATTGGTAAGCCTAGAGAGCAGTCTTAGGCTTTAAGGTTCTTGGTTCTCCAATTGGCTTGGGATGGGCCATCTTAGTCATTGTTTTGGGCTATAACCATTGTATCTTATTTATTGCTATATTTGTTATGTATACAATGCATCAAATGATAAAATAAGAATAAATATTGATGAGATCATTAAGGGCCTAATATTAAAACGAACAATGATGAGATAATTACGTAAATCCCTCTTTATAATCTAAGTTTACTTAACCGTCCAATATTTACCCTCGTTAAGACTTTGATCGATATTGTGTGGGCTTTGCCAAAGCATTGACACATAAATCTATCTTGGTTAAACGTGAAGAATAAGCAAGTGATATTTACCGGTTGAAATATTGGTAATAACTTAGCTAGGTTATTCTAATAGGATTAGAAACCTAGAGGTTAAATATTTGGATAAGTCATGAGATGACTTGAACAAAAGTTGTTCACCAAATTGAGGAGTAACATGAGATGTAACTAGTCAACTGTTACTTACCTAAATAATCACTATCCTAAAAGAAAAGCCAAAGTTGATTTAGGAAATTGATGTATTATGGATCTTTACCCACTAGAAAAATTTTCGTTGAATTTTTCCGAAATTAAAACAAAGAGGGTTTTTAATTTTGAATAAAATAGTGGTAGTAATTTGTAAATAAATTCCTATTTATAAATTTTAATTCAGTAAATTTACTTACTTTAATATTTCCATTGTTGTAGATTTAATGGAAAACAACACTTTATCACAGCGATCACTCCTTGAGAAGGATAAACTTAATGGCATAAATTTCCTTGATTGGTTTCGTAATTTGAGAATTGTTCTCAAACAGGAAAGGAAGGAATATGTCATTGAGGAACTTGTTCCTGATGAACTGGCAGCTAATGCTTCAAAAGTTGACAAAGACAATTTCAAGAAACATATGGATGATATGTTAGATGTTGGATGTCTAATTCTTGCCACCATGACTCCTGAGCTTCAGAAGCAACATGAGGACATGGTTGCATATGAGATGATTCAAAATCTCAAAGAAATATATGAAGGGAAAGCACATCAAGAGACATATGAGACCTCTAAAGCTCTATTTCAATGCAAAATGGCAGAGGGAACTCCTGTAGGAGCTCATGTCATCAAGATAATGGGCTACATCCAAACGTTGGAAAAGCTGGGATTTCCTCTCAAAGATGAATTGGCTCCCAATGTTATCTTACAATCGTTGCCAAATAGCTTTAGCCAATTTGTCATTAATTTCAACATGAATGAAATTAACAAGACTTTGCCATAGTTACTTGGCATGTTACGAACTGGTGAAAGTAACATGAAAAAGGTTGGACCTAAGCTCATTCTGATGGTCCACAAGGACAAATGAAAGGGAAAGAAAAAGGTAGTGGCAAAGTCTAAGGGCAATGGTAAGACCAAAAAAAGGGGAAAATGCATTGAAACCCAAAGGGGGAGTTAGCAAAGAAGGAAAATGTTTCTATTGCGATAAGACCAAACACTGGAAAAGAAACTGCCCTGTTTACCTTGAAGATGTCAAGAAGGCAAAAGAAAATGGAACGTTTGTTTCAGGTATTTATGTTATTGATGTTAATTTGTCAATATCTACTTCTTGGGTATTAGATACCGGTTTTGGTTCTCATATTTGTACTTCTGTACAGGGACTGCAAAAGAGAAGAAATCTGGCTAAAGGAGATGTGGACCTACGAGTGGGAACTGGAGCAAGAGTTGTTGCATTATCTATAGGGATATATGTTTTATCTTTGCCTAGTGACTTGATTTAAATTTAGAGGATTGTTATTATGTGCCTAGTTTGACTAAGAACATTATTTCTATTTCTTGTTTGGACAAGATTGGTTTTGAGATTATTATTAAGAATAATTGTTGTTCTTTTTTATCTAGATAGTGTTTTTTATGGTTTGGCACAATTGGTTAATGGTCTCTATATTTTGGATCAAGAAAACACCTTTTATAACATAAATACTAAGAGATCAAAAACAAATGACTCGAATCAAACTTATCTTTGGCATTGTTGTTTAGGCCATATAAGTGAGAAACGTATATCAAAACTCCATAAAATGAATTCTTAGATTCATTTTTTTCGAACAATATGATGTATGCGAATCTTGCTTGATGAGAAAAATGATTAAAGCTCCTTTTAATAGTAAAGGTAAATGAACAAGTGATTTATTGGGGTTAATACATAGTGATGTATGTGGACCAATGAATACACAAGCCAGAGGTGGATTCCATTACTTCATCACTTTTACCGATGACTTCAGTCTTTATGAGTATATTTATCTTATGCGCTATAAATCTGAAGCCCTTGAAAAGTTTAAGGAATTTTAAAATAAAGTACAAAATCAACTAGGCAATAGTATTAAGGCACTTCGATCAAATCGAGGTGGAGAATACTTAAGCATAGAGTTTGATGAACTCCTAAAAGAATGTGGGATTGTCTCATAGCTTACACCACCTGGTACACCATAGTGGAATGTAGTTTCTAAAAGAATGAATCGAACACTATTAGACATGGTTCGATCGATAATGAGTTATAGTGATCTTTCGACTTCTTTTTGGGGACATGCACTTGAAACAGTCGCTTTCACACTAAATCGTGTTCCATCTAAATCAGTTCAAAAGACACCATACGAGATATGGACTGGGAAACGTCTCAGTATGTCTATTATAAAGATTTGGGGTTGTGAAGCTTATGTAAAACATCAGATGTCTACAAAGCTCTAACCTAAATCTCATAAGTGTATATTTGTTGGATATCCTAAAGAAACTAAGGGATACTATTTCTTCAACCCTAACGAGAACAAAGTGTTTGTTGCTCGAACAGGAGTTTTTCTCGAAAGAGAATTTCTCTCAAAGAAATGGAAGGGTAGAAATATTGAACTTGGAGAAGTTCAAGAGCAACAGATAAATGAACCTGAAGTTGAGCATGTTTCACAAGTTGTTGATGAGCATTCAACAGATTTAGAAACACAATCACTACGTAGATCCACAAGAGAACATCGTACACCTGAGAGATTTGGATTTCCCATTACGAAACATGTAGATATTCTTCTTATGGATCAAGATGGGCCCAGGACTTATCAAGAGGCAGTGTTTAGCCCAGACTCTGAGAAATGGCTTGAAGCCATGAGATATGAGATAGATTCCATGTTAGTAAACCAAGTATGGACTTTGGTTGAACCACCTGAAGGGGTCAAACCTATAGGGTGTAAATGGGTTTTCAAGAAGAAACCCGACATAGAGGTAATGTACAAACATACAAGGGGCGATTAGTCGCTAAAGGTTTTCGACAAGTTCATGGTGTAGACTATGACAAAACATTCTCCCCTGTAGCTATGTTTAAGTCCATTCGGATCTTGCTCGCAATAGCTGTATTCCATGATTATGAAATCTAGCAAATGGACGTCAAAACTGCTTTCCTTAATGGAAAACATGAATAGGATGTGTATATGGCATAACTATAAGGTTTTGTCTTTCCAGGAAATACTGGAAAGGTTTGTAAGCTACAGAGGTCTATTTATGGACTAAAGCAAGCTTTTCGAAGCTGGAATCTTCGTTTCAATGATGCAATCAAAGAGTTTGGTTTTATCAAAAATGAAGATGAGTCTTGTGTTTATAAAAAGGCTAGTGGGAGTATTGTTTCTTTCATAATCTTGTATGTAGATGACATACTCATCATAGGAAATGATATACCTACTTTACAGTCTGTTAAGACTTGGTTAAGTAGTTGTTTTTCTAAGAAAGATTTGGGTGAGGTAGCATATATCTTAGGAGTTAAGATCTATAGAGATAGATCAAGACGACTTTTAGGTATGAGTCAAAGTACATATATAGACAAAGTGCTAAAAAGGTTCAGTATGGAAGAATCCAAGAAAGGATTTTTGCCTATGAGACATGGCATTTCTCTTTCTAAGAAAATGTGTCCTTCAACTCCACTAGAAAGAGAACGGATGAATAAGATTCCATATGCTTCGACTATTGGTTCTATAATGTATGTCATGATATGTACTCGACCAGATGTATCGTATGCTCTAAACATGACGAATTGGTAACAAGCAAACCCTGGTGAAAATCACTGGATTGCGGTTAAAAATATCCTTAAGTACTTAAGAAGAACTAAGGATAAATTTCTTGTCTATGGAGGGGAGGAAGAGCTTAGTATAAAAGGTTATACTGATGCCAGCTTCCAAACTGACAAGGATGACTCACGATCACAATCGGATTTTGTGTTTTGTCTTAATGGAGGTGCTGTGAGCTGGAAAAGTTCGAAGCAAGACATAGTAGCTGATTCTAGAACAGAGGCTGAATACATTACAGCTAGTGAAGCAACAAAAGAGGTTGTTTGGATCAAGAAGTTTATATCAGAATTAGGGGTTGTTCCCAACATATCAGATGTTGTAGAACTCTGTTGTGACAATAATGGAGCCATTGCACAAGGAAAGGAACCCAGATCTCATCAACGATCCAAACATATTCTTAGGCACTTTCATCTCATTCGAGAGATCATTGATTGAGGAGATATGGAAATATGTAGAGTACACACGGATAACAACATTTTTGATCCCTTGACGAAGCCTCTTACACAGCAGAGGCATGATCGTCACACTGAGTCACTCGGTATTAGATATGTGAGTGATTGGTCTTAGTGCTAGTGGGAGATTGTTAGAGTATTCCCAAAGACCAATCATATAATGATTGTAATAATATTTTTATTTACCGATTTTATTGAATAAAGGCATTGTCACTATTATTTTCAGTTATATATATGTGTTTAACATAAACTCGAAGATAATAAAGTCCATATAATGACATAATTGTTATTATTAAAAGATCCCTAGTCAAGTATTATTATGGGCATGGACAATAATAATACGCTTAAAACTAACATGTTATTGATTGATGACAACGAGTTGTCATTGACATAGAGATGTTAGAATTGATACATGATTATATTGTTAGAGAACAATGTATTGGATTGACCCACCATGAGCATATGTCTTGGATTATTATGTGACAGTTATAACATTGCTCATGGTGATGACTATATGTATGATCCTCAGACTTGAGATCAATACTATCCCAACATATATTGTTATATGTTTTGATGCATCTAAACAAGCTCCGTAACCGGTTGCTCTATAAAGACTGTTATTGAATATATCTCAATATATGTAGTAGGTGTATATGATTAAGATAGAATTTGTCCTTCCTACATAATAGGAAATATATCACAGGTCACTTGATTGAGTAAGACTAGAAACACATGGCCATGCTCGAATAAGTTGATATGAGATATCATAAACTATTCGGTAGTTAAAGTCTACTCTAGATATCAAGAAACAATAGATGGGCTATACAAGTGTGACTATTCCAAGACTTGTGCCTATTCTAGATATAAAGGACAAAAGGATGTAATACATAAAAGAGTAAATAACCAAGATGATATGTCGAATCATATTTTCTTGTAACTTAGATGACAATGATATATTGCTAGATGTCACTCATTGTATGTAATATTAGAATTGTTCTAATAATTACTGCTAACGTTACAAGAACCTACAGGGTCACACCCTAAGATTGAAACGAGCAAAGATGTACAATTTGTTGTACGTTACTAAAATATATCTAGAGTTAATTAAATATATGTTTTAATAATCCTGAATATTTAATTTCAATTAATTAAATATATATTTTAATTAATTTGAAATAATAAAATCTCTAATATGATTAGGGTAACTTGGATATAAAATGATTATTAAATTCTAATTAATTAAATATAGATTTAATTAATTTGAAATAATAAAAACCCTAATATGATTAGAATAACTTGGCTATAAAAGGGTGTGTTAGGTCTAGTAGCCGTTTTAGAACACACACAAAACCTTCAGCCGTTTTTCTCTCAAAACTATTTTGGGAAAGAAAATTATTGCTCTCAATCGGGTGAACTGAGTAGAGGCCAAGACGTGATTTCGTGGAGACTTACAATTCTAACCGATCTATACCACTAGTATTCATTGTTGTCCTTGTTGTTTTTTAAAGAACCCGCTGTAAGTATTTGCATCCCTTCCTCCCGATTTTAGTTTTTCGTACTTGGATCGCTGGTGAAACCGTCGAGTTTTGTTTCCCCTGAGCCATGGGGTGCGCCGACGGTCACAACACACTATTGAGAACAAGCCAATAAAACTTCAGATATCGGATACGGTTGGTTTTCCCCCTTTTTTTTAAGCTTTGAAGTGTTTTTTGTATGAAGTTACATTGGAATGTAATGTGTCTGGCTGTCTGTAGATTATATGTTTTGTTTTACACTTGTTTCTCTCAATTTAAGCTGTTATCTTTCACAATGATACTCAAACTAATTATCAGAACTGTATGTTGACTGCTCGAAATTTGTTATTCTATAAAATTATGCTATTTCTGGCTTTCCCAAGTATGACCATGTCTGTCAACTCGAATATTTGAATGACAGAAGTTCATAATTGATAGCGGTGTTTATCGGACTGGTTAATTGTTGTTGTAGGAAAAATGTATAATGCTTTTAAGTAGGATGACATTATCCCTTATGAAACTAAAGTTTTCTGTGGCATTTGATCTTAGTGGTTATTATGCTCATTGCAACTAGATTTCTCACTTCGTCCCGGCCTAAGATATTTAAAATATGAAACTTGTTGTTTCTTTTTCAGTTATGGTGCTGAATTTACTTTGCTTTTACCAGGCAGGCCAAGAATCATTCAGATCCATAACAAGGTCTTACTACCGTGGAGCTGCGGGTGCAATTCTAGTTTATGATATTACTAGGTATATATTTGTTATTTCCAGAACTTCGAGTTTAGTCAAGGAAGTTTCTTAAGCTTTTGATAACGGACCTTTTCTCTTTTACATTCTTCGACATGCTTATATTATTCATACGGACAAATTTATATGTGCTGTTGGCTGCAATAATAACACTTCTACATCTGTATATAGTTAATGATTAATAATCAGGAGGGAGACTTTCAATCACTTGACTAGCTGGTTGGAGGAAGCAAGGCAGCATGCAAATGCAAATATGACGGTCATGCTTATTGGCAACAAGTGTGATTTGGCTTATAGACGGGCAGTGAGCACAGAGGAAGGTGAGCAGTTCGCCAGGGAACAAGGACTGATCTTCATGGAGGCCTCAGCAAAAACAGCTCAAAATGTAGAAGAGGTCATTACCTTAAGTTTTCATCTTATGCTTACAACTACTTGCGAATGTTCTATAGCATGAGTATAAATAAGCTCTCATTCACCTAAATTTTCAACGCGAAAATTATTTCAGGCATTTCTAAGCACAGCTTCAAAAATCTACAAGAAAATTCAGGAGGGAGTTATTAACATATCAAATGAGGTTAGCTTTGTCTACTTATATTTTCCCTACAATTTCTACCATCTCGTTGTATCAATTATCGAACTAGTGAGTTAAACTCACCACAATTTCTGTTCATAGAATTTCTTAGACATTGGCATTTATTTAAAATGTCAAATAAGATTCATAAAGTTATAAAAATTAGATCGACCACTCGCATTTCAAGTTTCAGGATAGCTTGTTGTGCGGTAGTTTAACCTAAGGCTAATTTGTTGCGGGTTTTAACCTAAAATGTTATCTTGTCTAACCTAAAATGTTATACAATAATTTCAATTACAATTGAGAATGTTACATTGCAGCGGGTTTTAACCTAAAATATTACATGTCTACTCTAAAAAATTACACAATTAGTAATAATTTCGATTACAACAAAAAATGTCTTGACGCTAACTTTTTTAGGTTGCAATCGGAATAGTTATGTGATTTACATGATTAATTTGTTAAGTAAAACATAATAATTTCAGTTTCAAACTAAAATGATACCTAGGTTACTCTAAAAAGTTATGTTCTTGGTAAGTTTTTTTTTTGTTACAATTGATTTTTGTCGTTTTTTAACCTTGTATTAACTGATTGTATTTTAGACTCAACCTGGATTTGTTTTTGCAGTCCAATGGCACTAAAATTGGACATGTAAGTCAAGCATCTACCCATGGAGGTAGAGATGGCACTGCTTCTCAACAAGGTGGCTGTTACAGCTGAAAATTAAGATCATTTTCCAAGCTGAGACTTTCCTAAGTGCTTCATTTGCGGATTTCATAGGTTTGTTGTAGTTTTTATGTTGGTTACGTTGACATATTATTTTTATAAATAATTATCTACAAGTTTTACTATTAGATTTAAACATTTAATTTGTTTCTTTCCACCTATGTTTTTCCCTTCTCTGTTGTGTTGAGAACCACAATTGAGATTAACATTTATTGATAATGATTATTGTTTATGATTCAACTCCATCTTCTCCCTATTTTCGGTTCAGAGGATAGTGTTGTAGGAGCAAGCTAGGATTTGTACCCGAACTTCGGATGACACCTCTTAATTGTTATTTTACCGATAATGTTAATCATGTTTATCCGGTAAACGTGTTGAGTCAATATATGTCATCACCCATTGTTAATCATGGAAAGGAAGTAGAACAAGTTCTGCAATATTGGAAAAATGCTATTGGACTTGGAATTATATATGCCAATCATGGTTATACTAGGATTGAATGTTTTTAGATTCATATTAGACATGATGTAATGAAGATAATAGATCTACTTTAGGATAATGTGTGTTTGTTGGAGAAAACTAGATTTCATGAAAGTGTATGGGAGCCACCACTGTTGGGGTGGAGTAAACTTAATACGGACAGAGCTTAGAAGCCAGATTCTGCGGCTGCTGTGAGTGGCGGAGTAATGCGTGATGCTAACGGGGATTGGATTATGGGTTTTGCAAGATCACTTGGATACTACTCGGTCTTGGATGCCAAACTTACAGAGATTTATGAGGGGCTGGCTATTCACGGGAGATGGGAAATAGGACAATTATCGTAGAAAGATATAGTAAAGAGGCGTGGTCGTTGCTTAAACAATTGGAGAATAGGGAAATGATGTTGTCAATTGTTTCGCATATCGTCGGACTCTTGTCGCTGGACTAGAATTTTTTATTTTGGTATGTTCCTCTGAGTGGGAATACGGTAGCGGATGGAATGAAAAAGATGACTTGGAACCTTCCGTTTGGATCTCATGTATTTCAACAACCTCCTGAAGCAGTTTGCACATTACTGCATAATGATCTCCGCGTGGGAGATGGACAAACTGGTTAGATATAATCCATTCTAAACCGTACACCTCGTCGGTCACTAGAATCCTCGAAACTCTGAAACATATACTTCGTCTGTCACTCAACAGCCACTGTTGATCGTCAATGATCGTTGTTGTCATCGATGATCATCAAGGCCAAACCACTAAGTTCGGACCTTTAAGGTTGCATAAGCACGATTTTAGGGTCCTTTTTCCTCAAAACCTTATTAGTTGCTACAAATATACAAGAGACTCTTCGAAACAAAAATATTTTCATCATCGACCGTCTGATAGGATTACCTTCAACTAGAGATTTAAATAGCGGTATGTGACCGCGATATAGTGGTAACGGTGTCCTTCACGACCGTTATTATATGATCTCGACACTCGCAATCATCGTAATAGTACCCGTTATACCCGCAATCACGGTAAATACGACTCGACCGAAAACACGACCGCGACTTGAATCTTTAACTTCAACATATGTGACTTCTGGCGACACAAGGAGCATCCCTACCATCGAGATCTCCCAAACGAACCCTAATTTGTTTGAAAACGAAAACCTATTCTCACCAGACTCCTGTTTCTTTTCCCCTTGTTTTTGCTTTATTATTGTTTGTATTTGGTTGATAATTGCTTCCCCCTTTCAGGTTGATGGAGTTGTTACACAGAAAAAGCGTACGTCACCGGGCATCGTTGTTGTTGTTGAAGCAATATGACTAGTGTCGTTGTTTGTTCATCGAGGGCTGAAACAGTTGCTAGAGGATGTTGCTAGGTTGAGCTCAGTGTTTTGAAAATCGGACCGGACCGGCCGGTTCAACCGGTTCAATCGGGAATCATTACCTAATCCGGTTCAATCTAGATCGGTTGAACCGCTATTAGTGAATCGGCCGGAACCGATGAACCGTTCAAACCAGACCGGCTGAAAACCAGAAAAAACCAGGAAAAACCGCTAATTTTGTTTTTTTTTAATTAAACCAAATGACGTCGTTTGTTAAACGAGCCAAATCGAACTCGAGTATTGCTGAGTTCGACTCGAACTTGAAAAATTTAAAAGTAAGCTCAACTAGACTCAAACTCACGAGCTAAAAATTATCAAGTTCAACTCGAACTCGAAATATAATATTGAAACTTGAAATCGAAAAGGCTTGAACTCAAAAAAAAATTAGAAGCTCGATTGAAGCCTAAAATTCGAGTTTGATTGAAGTGAAAGAATAGTTCACTCAATACTCACCAAAAGGCTCCATGATTTTGAATGTCAAATTACCTCTATTATTTATAGAAGTTAGTTGGGATGATCTTCTATGTTTTTTAGCCATGTAGGATTGTTTTAAAAAAAAATTAAACCAAACAATATCATTTTGTTATAATTTTTTTAGCCACAAATTTATTTTTTAATTATAGTTATATAATTATATTTATTATTTAATATGTTTTACCTTAAATATTATGTTGTAGTTAATTTGAATTATTTTGTTTCACTTGATTTTATGATTTTTAACTTATATATGATATGACTTGCTTTGAATATGAATTGTGATATAAAAATTGTTTTTTATTAAATATTTTTGGTATTTTTATTTAATTTTTTAAATAATCATGACGTCGTCCGGTTCTTCCGACCGGTCGGACCGGTTCTTCCGACCGGTCGAACCGGTTCGACCGGTTGAACCAATGAATCAGTAACATGACCGATTCGCTAACCAATCCGGTTCTAAAAACCATGGTTGAGCTAACCGAACGTGAGAAATAGTGAAGAAAATCCACCTATGGGAAGCATTGATCACAAAAGAAGTATCGGTCACACAAACAATTCAAGAGGACTACATGTGTTAAATCGATCGGTTCGGTTAACCAACATAATCGAACTTTCAAAATTTTATTAATTTATTTTTTTCCTTTTAACTGTTAACCGAACTAAACTTTTTTCGAAATAATTAACCGGACAAATTTCAGTTAATCGACCGGTTAACCAAATTAATTGAAATATTATATATTATATATTAAATATTTTATATTTTCGGTTAAAACCGAAGTTTAAACACTCTCAAGGCTAAGTAATATATGAATGATATAAATAGTATATTAAATATTTAATAATTTCGGTTAACAAACCAAATTCGAACTGAATTAACCAATAATCGAAATTTAAAAAAATCATTAACCGTTAACCGAATGAAGCTAAAATTAACCTATCAATTAAACAAAAAAAAACTTCAATTTGATATGTTAAATAGGTTTTAACTGAAGTTTAAACACCCAAAAGAGGACTACATAAGATTTGTGTCAACTTGGATTATCATGACATTGGATTCACAAATACACAAGTACTTAATAATAATGTGATTTATTATTTTAGATATCATATTGATCGAGCTTGAGAGGAAGGAAATTAAAAAATTTCACATTTCCTTTTAGACTTTTTTAAACTAAGAACAATACAGAATACATTATCAGTGAGTCTCAATATAATTTTTAAAACAAAATCTGAAAAATGAATTGATTTTTTTTATGAATTTGATATGACTTTAAAAGAAATGACATTGAAAGAGATAAAATATGTTTTAGAATTTACAAATTTAGAGATAATAAAAACTTTTAATAATTTGAGATGATTGCAAGGTATGATGTGTTTAGAATTTTTCTTAATTAGTGATGAAGCATATAAACTATGTCGCGGCCGTCTTTCGGGCGGGCCCGAAATTAGGTTTCGACTTAAATAAAAAGTGTTAGAGCCGCCATTGATTATTTAAAAATAATGTTTAGGTTCATCGGACACCATCTTACCTAATCTGCGTTTTACCAGAAATGTGTCGGGTTCGGTAGTCGATTACAATCAAAGAATGATTAGCACCCTTGTACTGTCCTTTCGGTACCAATTAATTAGTTGGTTGGCTTAATTGCGAAAAATTAAAATTTACAAACTCGATTCTAATCACTTACCTTTGATCGATTGAAATTACTACTGAAAACAAAGTCAAAAATATGTTAGATGGTAAATAAAAGAAACATCGAATAAAAATTAATTGAATAAAAAGGAAAATAAATAAATCAAAGAAGAAGAAAAAATTTTATATAAAAAATGTTAAAAGAAAAACGTAACAAAAGAAGAAAATGTTAAATTTCATGATAAAAATTAATAATAATAATAATAATAAAATGTTAAAAGAGGAAAAAAACAAAAAAAAAACAAAAACAAAATAAAAAAAGTGTAAAAAAATAATAAAATAAAGTAAAAAGTGTTAAATTTTAAAGAAGATACAAAGAAGGAAAAAAGGATCAAATAATAATTAAACCAAAACAAGACAGTGACTAAAATAAAATGTTTGTAAATATAATACCCAAAGTCAAATTCTAATAAAGATAACAAAACAAATACGAACAAGACTAAAATAAAAGTACTGAAACATCGATGCTCAAAATAAAATAAATTAAAAGTTCATTCCATGGCTAGAAAATAAAATTACAAAGGATTAGGGACCCAAAACGTGATTATCTAGAAAGCTAAAATACCGCCCTAGTCCCTCTTAATACGGCATCATTTTCATTTGAGTATTTAAACCCAAAATGAGGTTTTTTTTCTCATTTCTTCTCATTTTTTCCATTTTCCAGAATTGTAGAGAGGGAGAGAGTTAAGAACTCTCTCAACTTCTCCTTCTCCGGTCGAAAACTTGCCACCCGCCGGTGATAAATCCGTCTCCTGTTGCCGCTTCACCCACCGAAAAAAACCATATTACCCCTTTCGAAAGCCCTCAACCCCTGGAAACTTAAACCACAACCTAAATCTCCAAAATCCCTACAAATCGACGAAGATCTAGGTTTTAGTTTCTCGGTTTTTACCTTTCCCGGTGAACGGTTCATCTTCCGGTGGTTCCTTCCGAGCCCAGATCAGGGCTGCTTTTATTTGTTTTCTTGGATATTTTTTGTGTTGCTTTCGTTGTACTTGCTTTTGGGGCTTTTTTTTTTGCTTGGCCTCTTGTATATTTGTTGCTCGATGTTGTTAGGTTGTTTGTTTCGATTAACTGTTGCTTATTGTATTTTTCTCG